GCGGAATGAGGTGGGGCCTAGCTTTGAGGGATGTGTACACGCTCGTAGCGCGCTGGAAAGGGGTGAAGGGAAGGAGGAGAGGAGGGGGGGGAGGAGGGGGAGGAAGTGGAGGAGATGGAAATTAGGGAGGGGGAAGAGGTGGTTTCGAGGAAGAACAGAAGGGAGGAAATATAAATAGGAGAATGAAAAGAATGGGCACGCTTCGTTAGCATGCGAGGCCCTCCTTGCAATCGCAACCTGTTCCTATCCTCTTTTCCTCCTTCCCCCCCGTCCTTCCCTCCCTCTCTCCCTCCCTCAATCACCTTCCCATCCATGAACAGGGACTTCATGCCCAAGCCAAACTTTTTCAAGTTGGCTAAGGCACGATGCATGAAGACTTTGGAGGATGCGTACGAGACGTGCCGACGGTGAATGTGAATAGCTGGCGGCCGGGAGGGATACAGCGCAGGAAGGCGGGCTTGGAGGGGGGAATACATAGGAGGACGCACTATGGCGACAGGCATCGATCCGCGCGGACAAAGGGAGTACATGGCAAGAATCCAATGTCAAGAGAGAAACTGATATGTGTGAGGAAGATGTGTGTGGGGAAGAAAAATGACAGGGAGGATGAGGCTTCCACGGAGGAATGAGGAGGGTTGGGTGGTGGGAGAGGAAAGGACTGAAATTAGAAACAACCGATCGGGAAACGTGAATAGAATCAATCTATTGCAATAAAAGCGACGATCGATGGTCGTAAGAGTCGATAACGTTGTGTGTGACGCTGGATTCAAATGGATGTGCGTTTGCCGTCCGGGGAGGTTAGCCGGATGACAAGGTCGACGCGTTACAAGAAGCATTGGGAACTGCCTCCCAGGAAAAGTGCAAACCAATCAGAAAACGCCTTTGTCGTTGTCACATTCCCCTGCTTGTTGCATATATGCGGGCGCTGACGTCTGTTTTTTCCATAATGGGAATGTCGAGCTCCACAGCACTGACACTCGCTAAGGATCTACAGCGATCGACGTGTACTACGTGAAGCAATTTGGTGTCCAAACACCCGACGCACAAGTCTTTGGAAAGCGTGTCGAAGGACATCAGGCTGTGCGTTTGAGTCCTTGGAAGCAGGTGGTAGTAAGCAGGCGCGCTGGCGCGCTTCAATCCGCCTTGATGGTCCGCTATGTTATACACACGCTTTCCTCCCCCTTCAGTCCAATAAATGATCCTTAAATATTTGTTTGTAAATTGGGGACGGGGGGGGTCATCGGCTCAGGGAGCTTGCATAGTGGGAATGACATGAAGTTAGAAACACCAGAGTTTCCTGAAGTCTAAGGCGTGAAGGCCGCGCATGTAGGTATTTGTGTCGCCCCGGCCATTTGTTCTTTCGTGTCTTTCCAATACGCTTCGCACTTCCGGCCTTAAATCCCGCATCCACAGCTCGGAATGTCCTTGATGCTCCATCCCTGGCGTCGATGGAGGCG